CTGGACTTGCCGTTGCATGATACCAAAGCATCTGTTGTTGATTTGAAGACTGATTTTAATTAGTTATGGTATAAATGGAAAACTGTGTGCAGCAAATCTTGGGAAGCAGAGAATGTGCTATTTGTTTGTAGTTCTCCAGTGCAATACCCCAAAATGCAGACCATAATTCAGGAGGAAAAAATGTTTTTCCTTTGAGAGGGTGCCGTAGGATTAGCTTTCGTATTTCTGTCCTTGCAGCTCTCTGGAGCACATCTGGAGATCATTTCGAGAGAGGGAGGAGAGTGGGACGGGGTTCAGATTTAGGATGATGAGAGACCTAGGGCCTTGCAAAAAAATTCAGTAAGAGCAAATATTAGGTTGTGTAGATACCATATTCTAGCATCTTTCTAAATGATACACAGAAGCAGCATCAAACTCATTTGGTCCAAAGGGAGAAGGGATTTTTTTGCCTTACTGTTCAGTTGCTGTTAGTTCATTTATGGTCTGACTAGATGAGCTAATGAACAGAAAGAAATTATATTTAACTAAAACTTTCTGTGCTGTACCTCAGTTAAAAACAGGGTAATTTAGGTGTGAGGTCTTCTCCCTGCAACTGCAAGACATAGTAATATATATTTCTTGTCCGCCAAAAACACCTACTCTGCGTGTAAATATAAACAACACATAATTTTTGCTTCATTGCACACTGGCATCTAACTCTTAAAAACAGTTTTTAAAAGATCGTGCCAACTACACTTGATTCAAGCCAGAGTACAGTACCAAAAAAAAAAAATCGTATCCTTGAAGATTTTAAATGAGTTTATTTTAGTCTTAGGATGCCTCCCTTTTCTTTTTCATCAGCCAAATTAATTTTCTTTCAACTGAACTCAATTGTAACAATGTTCTGGAAAACCAAATATAGATTTTGGACCCGGGTCTCAATCTTAAGTCTTGTTTTAGTGTTCAACATTTGGCAGTGGTGATAACTGAGGCGCACCCTTTTCAACTCCCTGCCCTTTCCCTTCCCCGTGTTTTCCCCTTGTTGCTGTCTCAGGTGTTGTGCTGGCACCGATGCTTTGACAAACACAGCATGAACCAGATCAGGGAGTGCATCCAGCTGGGATTCCCCACCAGATCAGTGCCGTGATGTGGTCTGCTGCACAGCTGCATGGATGCATGAGTGAACTGCTAGGGGCAAAGGCAGGAGGGAGGGTGGTTGGTTTAGCTAGCACTGCCACCAAAGTGTTGTTTGAGGAACTGTAGAAGAGATGTCTGCCTTTGGTTTGGGGTTTTTTTTTGTACCTTTCTGCTCTCTCCCCTTCCCTTTTTTTCAGCTGTTACAAATACCCCCTCAGGTTGAGGCTGTCTTGCTGGGAATGCTGCACCAAGGTGGGCAATTTTTGCTCCATCTCATAAAAATAAGGAAATACAGACGGCATGAATTGCAGACTGGCATGAAGGAGAATGAAATACAGAAATTAACCGGTTCTTATGCTCCTCTGTTACCCATTACTACTTAACTTTGCTGCTTCCTCTGTCCCATGCCTTCCCTATGGCTTTTTTCTTCCCCTTTTATGCATCCCTGCCTAAATCTGCCTCTCCCTGATCCCATTAGATCCCTGTTTCACACCCGTCTCCTCCATGTCTCTGCCCTGGTTCTTTCCATCCATGTTGTCCAGTGTATTTTTTCCCTGACCTGGGGACAAAAGATTTCTCTTTCAGACCTGGAGTGCAGCTCGCTCGTCACCAGAGACGCCTGTTGTCATGGGCTGGCCAGGCGGCCTCTCGCCGGGCACTCCGCTGCAGATTGTGCCAGTGGAAAGTCTTCGTCTTAAGGGAACCTCTTGCATTTGCAATAGCAGAGAAGGAGATTGGATTAAGCATAGTTAACCTGTCCTCCAGAACAGGATGTTTTGGGAAGTTCATGAGTTTAGAAAAGACTTCCCACAACAAACCCACAGATCCAGTTTCCTACCTGGTTTGTGACTGGCAGACTGAGTAGGACAGGGACTCTCTTGGGAGCAAGATAAAAACAAATGGTCACGTCATATGTAAAACAGCGCTATGCAGCTGCTACTAAAAAAGTTATCTTGGCATCATCACGAGCAGTTTCCACACATGTACTGACATTGAAACTTATGAGGCAACAACTGCCAAGATGAAGTTGGGCTGGCCGGCGCCTCAGAAAGAGTGGGATGTTTCTGGGGTCAGAGATGGATCGGCGATATATATATATATATATATATATATATATATATATATAATTTGTCTTCCTCTCTAGTTTCTCTTAGATGTGGTAATATTTGCAAGGTCATATTTAGGATTGATTGAGTAGGTATATATATATATAATTTAATTCCTTTACTCAAACCTTAGGGTTCCTGGTGAAATTTAATTTTCTGTTACTGAAAGACTCTTCCGTTGTTTCCATGAGTTTCACCAGGCAGGATTTCTTTAAGCATCTCATAGGTACATCTGATAGCAAACACGTTTGCTGAAGGTTACCTTAGAGTACTTTAAGGTGAGTTTGGCTGCTGACCTCCACTGCGTGCTCATGAGGAAAAAAGTGTGTTATGGTGTAACTTTTTTAAGGCATCCAGCAGAGCTAGTGTAATTTAAAAACCATACAGAGAGTGCACATTCCAGAAAAGGATTGTTTTATGCCTGTGAGTGACTACGTGCTCATTTACAGAGGGAACCACTGACTGGAAAAGTACATATTTTCTATTTTTAGCTCATACTGTAACTTTTGAGATACTAAGTATATGGCAAAGCCATGCATATTAAGGCTTATTTCTTAAACGCTGCTCTGCTTTTTTTTCTTCTTCTTCTGAAATGCAGGCTATGATCATTGCTTTTACATCTGACATGATTCCTCGTCTGGTTTATTACTGGTCCTTTTCAGTCCCTCCTTATGGGAGTCACAGCAGTCACACTATGAAAGGGTATATAAACAGTACACTTTCTGTCTTCAATATATCAGACTTCAAGAATGCAAGCAAGCCATTTTCCCCTTGGTTTGGGAACCAGACGACATGCAGGCAAGTGTCAAATAACCATTCTTTTCCAACGACAAAAATAAATATGTTTTTTTAATACCTAAATCATCCAATTCGGTTAACAATATCCAGTAAGAAATGTTAAAACACAGTAAAAGCCAGCGTATTTTGAAAGGCAGAACTGAGTGGAAGTGTTCACCGAAAAGTTTGTGCTATGCAGAAAATTCTTACATTCTTTTGTTTTTCTCATAAAAGATAGCCTTCAAATAAAGCACTTTAAAAGTTTTGTTAGTATTTCTTAATACAGCAGCAAAAAAAAAGGGAAATTTCAGCCAAATATAGCTTATTCTGCAGATATGATTTTACTCATTACTGTAGTTATATGGAGCTAACTCTTCCTGGATGGCTTAAGCAGGGACGTGTCTTGCTCCATCCTCTGGCCACAGTGCTGTACTGCAGAGATGCCTGAGACAAGTTCCCGACTTTCTTACCTTGCTTTCAGGTACCGGGATCTCCGCTACCCTGCTGGTCACCAGCACCAGTATGAGCACAACATATACTACTGGCATGTCATCGCAGCCAAGCTGGCTTTCATCATTGTCATGGAGGTAAGTGTATGGGGTTTGGAGCATTACTTATTTAAACTTCTCTTCCCTCCCTGCAGAAAATCCTTCAAAGACATTCTGCCCAGGCACGGCTATCAGAGCTGGTGATGTGTGCTAGCATGGGCAAGAGCTTGGGAGATGTAAATTAAGTGTAGCGCCATTAGAAAAGAAGTCTCTGAAGTCATGACATCAGCTGAGGATTGCCCAAGGTGTTTACAGTTTCTTTGCTCAAGAACTGTAAAGTTATTTATAGTATCAGAAATAGAAGGGACAGTTACACCAAAAATATTTTTACATATACTTAAAGGAAGTTTGTGCACAGCCTTATGAATGCACATAGATAATACACGTGCACTAGCAGAGTGAAGTCTATGAAGACGATCACTGCAAGAGGTGGGTCTCTAGATGCTCAAAAAGCAATTGCTCCTTCCTCTGCAGCTACAGTATGGGCTTACAAAAGATGGGGGTCGGTCCAAGATGGAGGAGAGAGATATTAGGTATTATTTAATTATAAAATGTACTTAGGGCTTGATTCAGGAACTACTGAAGTCATCAGAAACGTGCAACTGGTTAGATCAGAGTTCCTGTAGCAGAGAAAAGTCCATTGCCCCAGAGTCATTTGAACAAGCCTAAAACAATTTTAAAAGAAACTGTAACCAATATTTCCACGCAGGAGGGAAGCACTGGGTATCAGGGCTCCCCCAACGCAGGCAGAGAAGTCCTTGTTAAAATCGAGATTAGAAAATCAGAAATTATTGTTTATCAGACAATTATTCTATTCATTAGTCATGTCTGCTTTTTAAAATACCGTTCCACTGTGATAGATACTGGTACAGAACCAGCTCAGAGTCTTAAGAGATAATGTGACATTTCATTTATAATAATAATAATGTCCTGTTCAGCCTGACTGACATTTTTTCATTTTCACCTTCCCCAGCATGTCATATACTTTGTGAATTTTATTATTTCATACGTAATTCCGGATGTATCACAAAAGACCAAGAGCAAGGTCAAACGAGAGAAGTACCTAACACAGAAACTCTTGCATGAGAATGATCTCAAAGTTGTGAAAAAAAACATGGGGAAAATAGCTGACAAAATTATCAAAGGAGTCGACAGCACTTTCCGACCTAAAGCTGAATAAGTACTTTTTTGTATGGAATAACAGTATTTAGCCAACTAATACCTGTCCAGATATTACCAATAGCTAATCAAACACTTCAGATTAATTCCCTTTACTAAACATTGTTTCTTGCAACTGTTACCTGCTCATTTACTAGTTTCCCTTGGACACATCCAACCACTGTGACTCAGATAAGAGTTATCAATTTTTTTAACAGCTTTACTAGGACTTTTTTAACATGTGAAGGTAAAAATTATTTATCATCTTAAAAAGATGCAGATTAATTCTCAAATGCATAGAGTGCTTTCCACTTTATTTAGTCATCAGCTATTAGATCTCTTGTTTGACTTGAATAAAAACTTAAGAACAAGAATGATTTGTTGTAATACCATCACATCTTCTGAAGGAGTTTTGATTACTTGCTAATGCAAACCTCAACTATACAATGAAGAGGCAAAGCCAAAACATGAAGGAAAGAGAAGAAAAATACAACGCAAAACCATGTTGTTAAGCCATTGGTATTGACATACTAAGCACTGTTGTGTGCTATACTGAATTAGCTATGCATACTGAGACTCAAATGGATGACAAGATATTTCAATTAATCATGGACGTGGATCACAAGAAGCAGCAGGACTGTAAGCTCATCCTGTTCATCAATCTCTGTGTAAACAGGAGAATTGCCTTTCAAATCAATGCATACAAACTGACTTTACAGCACTCCAAGTGAGTAGAAAACTCAGGCATTTTATCTTTCCCCAGTCAATATACTTTCATTAATTCACTTGCCCATTTTGCTCTGAATGACCATAGCCTTGAAGGTCTCCTACCTGTAACAGTAATGAGTGTTAAAAGTCTTTTCACGTACTAAATCAATAGTTGTGGAGGGTTGTCTTTTGCAGTTCTCCCACACCAGAGGCACCATGCTCCTTCCCTGCAATATTTCGAGATAGGAAGAATGTGGAGCTGGACCTGTTGTGGTACAACATCGTGTGATAAAGTGAATTCTGACAAGATCATGAATCTACTGAAACTGGAGATTGGAATAAACCATTTAATATGCCTTAACCATGTTATGAAGCTTTAAATAACTAGGAAGGACATTAGAGGTGTGGATCCATGTGCTAGAGCCATCAGTCATCCCCAAATTAGGCTGCAGATCTGCTTGTCTATCTTGGCTCCAGTTAGGAGTTAGGGAATTACAGATTAAGCATGTATGTAGAGCTCTGTTTTGTGTCTGCAGCAGTGATATTCCAGATTAATAACTTGCTTTCTCTTTCAACAGTTTTAGTGGACCAATTTCTACAATTTCTGAAAACCAAAATCTTGTTAAAAAAAGCAAAAGTATGCCTGGACTCTGTAAACCAGGAGGTTACTGATGCGGTTGTAATTTTGTATTCTTCATAAATGTCATAGATATGCAGAATTTTTAAGCAGATTATTCATATAGCTTTTTACATATTAAGAAGTTCATTTGTAGAAACTAAGTAGCTTTTGTAACATGTATTTTATCCCACTAATAATCAGAAGGAATCAAATGTCTGAATTTTGTAGCAAATCTTCCAAATAGCGACTGCTGTGTGCCTCAAGCCTATCCTTTGAAATGGCGACATTTAAACCAGACGAGGTAGCACATTGTCGTGGTTTAGGCCGAACTGGCCACTGGGGACTTGGGGCACCCCAGATGGGACCAACAGATGCTCCCCCCCACCTCTCTTCAAGGAGAGAGGCAGAGGAGGAAAAAGAGACTTAAGAATTTAGAAGGCGAGTCCTTTCAGCAGTCATGATACACAAGCTTTCACTCAGCAAGACTTTGCATGATTGCATGTGTACATGGAAGAACGTGAGAGGAAACCTTGGTTCAAAAATCAAGGAAAGATAAAAGAAACAAACTCACAGGTTCCAGAGAACCACTTGCATTTCTGGCACTGAAGGACTGAAGCTTACTTATTATAATGCCCAGAAAACTGTATGTAGACACCACCTAAAGACAAAAAAAAAGACTCAGGACGGAAAAATAAGATAAACCGTAACGATAAATGATAAGTCAACCAGAGCAGTGATGGAACCAGTGCTTCTTTGCACAGGGAATTCTACCCTTTGCCATTTGTTTTGGTTTCATCAGAATCATGACAAGTCTTTAATTTACCAGGAAGCAAGTATAAATTGGCCAGATGGACAAACACTCAAGTTTCTAAACAAGACAGAATTTTGCATCAAAATATATCCCCTCGATACTGGTTTGACCTTTTTACTGGATCACAGGATGGTTGGGGCTGGAAGGGACCTCTGGAGGTCATCTGGCCATACTCTGCCTTGCTCAGGCAAGGTCAACCTTTACCAGGCTGCCCAGGACCATGCCTAGATGGCTTTTGAATATCTCCAAAGATTGAGACTCCACAGCCTCAGTGGGCAACCTGTGCCAGTGCTCGGTCACCCTCACACTGAAAAGGTGTTTCTTGATGTTCAGAGGGAACCACAAGTGTTTCACTTTGTGTGTATTGCCTCTGGTCCAGTCACTGTGTAGTATACCAAACTTCTCTTTAAAGCAAATTTTTGTCCAAAAAACTGTTTCATGGAACAATTTTAGTGAATTTCTCAGGACTTCCCTGTGCAAAATGAGTTTAGTTAAAAAGGCCAGTCAGCTCCTTTCAGACTTGGAGCTTTAGGTTTTAGCTTTGAGCTGGCCCTTCCCCATCTGTAGTTGCGTTCAACTGAGAGATGCAGTATCCCCATCAGTGCTCACAGCGCCAGTGTGCCTTAAATACCTTTTCAGGAGCGATGTTGGGAGGTCTGCGGCAGGCAAGGACGCATCCTGTGATAAAGAAAAAAAAATGCAGCACAAAATGGACCATTTAAGGCAATTATTTGGTCTTAAGGAAGCATTTATTGCCCTCTTTGAGAGGTAAAGAGACTAGGAAACAAAGGAATTGAGTGCCTTGCCTGGGGTCACACTGTGAGCAGTGGCAGAGCTTGAGGCTGATTTTCAGGAGTGCCTGGTCTTCTGCTCCTTGTTTGGTTATGTGGCCTCTCTCAGTTGCCCTTATAATATCAGTTGGCAGTATTTCCTAAAGGGGGAGTTGGCCCTCAGTGTCATCTAGAGTTTATACTCCTGCCTTTAAAATAATGATTTAGAAAACCGTGCTACATCAGCAAAGTGTGTATATCTATGACTTGGGCTCCTCCCATAATAAAATCCTAATCAACTTTGGGTGTGTTTCTACATTGCCATTTTTGTTCAGATCAGGAGTGTGCTTTTGAAACTAGCCTTCCACTTGTCCCCACTTTCTGGGCGGTGCTTCTCATCACAGACTGGTCTCAGGGCACATGGACTGGCTTCCTCTTGGTTTAAACTGAACCAGAAAGCAGGTTTTAGAGATGCGCTTGATGGTCTCTGACAGGCACTTAGCCCAGAGAGCTAAAACCAGAGCTAGGCTGAAGAGAGCGGTGAGCACTGCGTGGGCATCACCTAGTCGACATCAACTTTGCTCTAGTGATTTGCTTCTGAAGTGCCACGCTTGTGCTAATGTAGCTGTAACACTGATTTTCAGAAGACATTATATCAGGAATTCAGTTCAGTTTGCCATATGCACAGTGTTATTCACAGCACAGTTCTGAATGAGAGAGAAAGAAGAGGGAAACCAACAGTGCCTAATAATTGCATTTTAATAGTTTGATTTAAGATGTGCAATTTCTGTAGCCTCTACCTCCAACTGCTGAAATGTGCTCTGCTTGTACACAGGGAGCTCTGCACAGGCATCACAACAAAATGCTGGGGGGGGGGCAGTTGCCAAGATATGAGTATTCATAACTTTCTTTTTTTTTTTTTTTAGGCCAGGTCACTTTAATAATATTTAAAGATCCGCTTGAAGGGAAAACTAACATTTATTTTAAACTATGAATCAATTTTACTCTATTTTACACTTGATATGTCAGCCAGCCTCTTACTTTATACAGATCTGTTGAGGTCAGGGTGAATTTGGACCAATGACCATTTTGTTGCCTTAACAAGCAGCATAAATTACAGACCATCGCCACTGTTTTAGACTCTGTGTATGTTGATAAAATTCAGAATGTAAGAATGTATTTTTTTGTATTTTTTCTAAGAATGTTTGCTATTAGTTTCTGAATATTAAGATTTTATATTTATTGTCATTAAATAAAGTCTATTTTAAAATAACAATACATCTGACATTGATTAGCATTGTTTGTTTATCCATGAACAGGAATGCTGCTGCCAAATGCCACATTTAAATTCTTGTGATGTCATCTCTGTCTAATTTCCATATTCTTCCTCTTTTTCAGTCTTTTTCCATTAAACTCTTACTACTACTGAAATTTATCTCCTGTTTTTCCTGCATCCTCTAGATGGAAGTCATTCCTTTCAACACCAAGTCGATGACAAGGACCATTATGTTCTCATACAAATAAACAGTTTAGGTCTTTATACCCTTTCACTCCTGTCATGATAAACCCTGTGTTACGTTTCAGAGTCATCATTTATTTCTTCATCTGGATCGAGTCTGTGATACTCCCACCTCTGGGCAATCCACCCTCTCTTTCTCTCCCTGCTATCCATCCAGCCAGCCATCAGTTCTCTTCTGCATCTGCTCTGACTCCTCTTCTCTGCTTTGAGGAAATCCTTTTCTAAGAGTTAGAGAACAGGAAGGTTAGAGAGACATTTTAAATTGAGACCTTCTTTGCATTGAGGTGTGTTGATTTTATTTCCCTTAGGGATTGCCAAGATGTGCTTTCAGGAGCTTTATGATAGCTATGGAAGCAGAGGTACTACCACTTCCAACCGGTTTTCTGCTGACTAAGGGCTATGTGTGGTACAGATGCCAGTACCCAAGCAGTTCTGCCGCTCTTGCATCGATTTGGCTTTGTCAGAGCAAGAACAAAAGAAACTTCATGTTGACGCATAATAAGGGTTATTGTCCTGCAACCAGAAGGATATAGTATCATCATAGGCCAAATCTATGTGAGGATGGTGTGTTTTTAAATTGACTGATACTTTTAAA